AATGTGTCCTCTACATCCACACCACCCAAAGCAGTAACTGCAGAGGTCAGTGAAGACTCTACTCTGCTTTCTACTAAACCACTTCTGGTGCCTGACCTCCTAAATCAGGCCAAGGTTGTGGTTTCTCCTTTCAAAATCCAGAAGGTAAGGACATCAGAGCTGAAATCCTTCACACGTTTGCTTCCAGATGACTCCGCAGACACCGTCAATGTTAAATTGAAAGGGAGCAGAGATGAACTGGATGATTCATTGGAGAGGAGCAGTGACAAACCGGAATTGGGGTCAGACTCTGAAGAAGCACAGGAAGTTCCTGACTGGTTAAAGGTAGAAGAGTATGTAACTGTTGGCACAAACAAGACCGGCATTGTTAAATACATAGGACCAGCAGACTTCCAGGAAGGAGTCTGGGTTGGGGTGGAACTCGATTTGCCAGCAGGTGAGAAAGACTTCTACATTAACCCCTGTGCACTCCTGATGCAGATATGATGCTCTCCCTGTATTCCTCAGCCTCTCCCTCTTTTTCTGACCACTTTCTCACTCTTGCTCTGTTCGATTGTTTCTCTTTTTTTCTTTTCTTTTTTTAAACTCTCCTCGCCATACGTCCCCCCTACTCTTTGTTTCCAGATCATTTACTTTGCATCACGCCTCATACACTTTCCATTTATCATTTCCTTTCCCTCCACGGCCTACTTAGAGAAGCATTTGATTGGATGGTTCTCACTGGCTTTGAGTGCATGCACTCTGAGCCGGGGGTAAGGCGGCAGGGAAGGGATAATAATCCAGACAAAATGTCAGGAATATAGGAAAGTGGAGTGGCTCTGTTTTCCTTTAAAGGGACACTCCAGGCACCCAGACCACTTCTGCCCATTGGAGTGGTCTGGGTGCCAACTCCCACTACCCTTAACCCTGCAAGTGTAATTATTGCAGTTTCTTTTATAAACTGCAATAATTACTACCTTGCGGGGTTAACTCTACCTCTAGTGGCTGTCTACTAGACAGCCACTAGAGGGCACTTCCGTGGCCCTAGCACAGGAAACCTGTGCTAGAACGTCGCTGGACATCCTCACGCTGTGTGAGGATCTCCAGCATCGCTCAGTTCCCCATAGAAAAGCATTGAAAAGCATTTTCAATGCTTTCCTATGGAGAGCTTTAATGCGCATGCTTGGCATTGCCTCGCATGCGCATTAGGTTTCCTCAGCGGGCGGGATCAGTCTTGCCAACCGGCTGACGTGATTACTGGGAGGAGCGACACCGACCCGAAAACCACCACCCAACCTGGGATGGGAGGGAGAGGGGACCTGCAGTGCCAGTAAAATTGATTGTTTTCCTGGCACTGGAGTTTTCCTTTAAATATATTGTATTATACAGTGCCGGCATATAACCAGGTCAAACATTGCAAATGAGGAGAAATGGAAACATTGTTTAATTTCTCCTTTTCTCTGTCCGCTCTCTATGCTGACTGCCAGATGTGAAGGACCGAGATTAAAACAATGATTGACAGGGAGCTACGATGGAGGCGCCCAGTTGCAGGATAAAGTGGAGTTGCTTTACATATTTAGTTTTCTTTGTTTCCTCCCACATATACATATTTGTTAGATGTAAGGGATCAGTAAATTTAAAATAAAAAAATCCATGGAAGTGACAGTTAATTATGTCATTTTACTATTTTTGTTATTGTTCCAGGCAAAAATGATGGTTCAGTTGGTGGCAAACAGTATTTCAAGTGTAATCCAGGCTACGGCGTGTTGGTGAGGCCAGACAGAGTGAAGAAGGCCTCTGGTACCATGCGTAGGCGAAGCGCAGGGCTACGCTTGCAAGGTGGAGCTACTAGCGAGAACCGTAGGAGTGGAAATCTCTCCGGCTCAGCCGGTAATCTAGCAGCATTGACGGCTCTTGTGAAGCCTGAAAAAGCAGTCAACCTGAAGCCAGAAGATAAAAACCAGAAGAAGACCGAGAACAGAAAATCCTGGGCCAGTTAATAAATTCCGACCTTGGGGTTTTTTTTTTCTTCCTCACTTTAACCACTTAAGAATTTTCACCTGACGGAGGCTTGCAATGCAAGGTCTTCAACACTGTTAATTCCATGAAAGTTTTTGTCCCCCGACATGTATATATTTGATAGACCAACGTCCGGCCCTCCTATTCCGGTGTGATGTTAGTGATTGTCGAAATCTGCACTGATGACCAGTCAAAGTATCGATTCGAATGGTGCAGACATCAGAAATGTGACAGATGTCAGATTTACATTCCTATAGCAAAAGGCTAAACAGTAATTAATTATAGTAAAGCTGTATTAAGCATAATTAGGGTTGGGGCTTTTTAAAACCACTCGTGAAAATGTCTTACATTCGGTCTCCCAGGCAAATGATCTGTATGTACGTTGTGTTTTTGTTTTGTTTTTTGTAAATATATGTAATCATTTGTTTATCTGTTTATATGTGTGCAATATAAAAAGAAACATTATTTGATGTACATACAACATGTACATAATGAAGGTGCCCAAATAATTTGGCAACCATCAGTGCTTCTATTTTGTCAATAGACAATGAAATTTTACATTAAAATACGGCCAATCTTTTACAGAGTTTATGGAAATTTTAAATGGCACGGATACATCCTTGGATTAGTACGTACACTATTACATTCATTACCCTGTTAATGGTAATTATTTTGGAATATTCACACTTGTTTGTGTTATTTTTTGCACAGCTTAGGTTTGTGTTTTGAGTGGGAAATCCCATTACTGACACCAAAATTGCAATGGTTGTATACTGTGGTTTGTACTTTAATATTCAGCAAGAAATACTTAATTTGCACAATTACAAAGTTTTTTTGTTTTTTTTTTTGTTTTTTTTATTAACGTTTGTTTATCTTTGAATGAGATTTATCACTCTGTCTTACCAGTTTGTTGGCACATATATTCCTCTTTCCTGTGGTGGAAGTCTTTTTATTTATGTATTTATGGAAGATGATTGATTTTAGTGGGAATTCAAATTTATATACTTTTTTTATGACGTGAGTTTTGCGATTTACAATCGTTATACTGGCATTTGTAAGCGCACATAAAAAAATATTTGTGAATGAGAAGACCGCTACCCGGCTCTGTCACACAGACTTTCATTAGAGCTCTATACTGTGGTACTCTATAACATAGCTCTATAAATATATTAATCAAAAAAACTATTTTTCTAATTTAAACAAATAGCACCTATTGAATGCACATATTGTGCATATATTATTTCTAAATCACTGATATCAAAACAAGATGTTTGTTTATTGTTAATATCCCATATCCTGACCTTTGCCACCGCCAGTTATATTGGCATTGGTCTGTTTTCACCAGTAATTAGTAACGCTAATTATCTCCGCAATAGTCCTCTCCCACTGCTAATTATCTCACTGATGGCCCTCTCCCACTGCTAATTATCTCAACAGTAGTCCTATCCCACCTCTAGTTATCTCAACAATGGTCCTCTACCATAGCTATTTATCTCAGGGATGGCCTTTAATTATCTTAGTGATGGTCCTTTCCCATCGCTAATTATCTCACTAATTATTTGTTTTAGAGAAAACAGAGCAATTTTGTGTTTAGTTTGTTTGAAGATCACTCTTTTTAGTAAACCATTGTAAGGAGGTGAGGATCTATAAGCACACATACAGCAGATTCCACTAGAGATAGAGATGGGCACTGTGCCCTCTCTATAAATAATCACTATTGGTCTCGCTCACGTACACAAGAGATGATCCACTCCACCCCAGTAGACATTATTTTCTGAACTGCATGTGAACATTTCTGTGGGTCACAACATATCACAAGTGGCGGTTTAGTGAGTTCCAACAAATTGTAGAAAGGCAATCTCCCCCTACAAGACTTGTTATATGTGCTGCCTGTGAACCATTTTGCCTTAACTAAATATTGTAATGAATGGAGACTCCTGTGGGTCCAAACAAAGCAAGTACAAACCAATATATCACATAGCTAGTAAAGTGTGAGAAGTATAGAGAGATTACGGAATTAACGTAGCATCATGTTGCAACTGTTACACCGTTTATTTTTTATCCCTTTCAGGGGTTAGTCAGTTGATATACATTTGCTGGTGTCTCTTGACTCCGGTTTCTGATTTGTGGATATCCTGTTGAAACTGTGGAGTGTTTTCTGACATGCGGCTGGCGGTGTGGGGTTAGTGATGCATACAGTGCCTTAACCATTTGGTTTTACCAGCTAATTCTGAATGGGGCTTCCAGTAGTTTAGTAGCATTTAACACATATCGTGCCTTTTCAGCACACCCAGACGTTCATGCACCACTCGTCTCGTCACCCGAAATAGATTCACCCTCTAATCTATGGTTTCAAGATTTCTTGACTCTGACAATCAAACACTAATTTCTATCACTTAGCCAGGAGTTGAGTATTCTAATAAAAGAGTGGGATTTTTGCTGCTTTGGCCTGAAGAAAAAAAAAGATCTGGGATCTGGGTCCTTGAACTATAAACACTTCAGAAGCAGTGGTTATAGTGCTTAGAGTTTACAAAAGTATTGGCCCTGTCCCCTTCATAAAATCCATGTGGCTCTATATGCAAAAATGCAGGAGGAGGAAATAATTATTGGCTTGAAGGGAGTTTTAGAAAGGGAGGTGCAGTATTAGGAATTGGATAGAAAGTAAATGTGGCGTATACTGCACCCAAAATCATACGTACATAAAACTTCAGAAGGTAAAATGTTGTAAACCTCGGGATAATAAAAAAAGACAATAATGGTACAGTACAATTTGATAAAGTGCAAATAGTAAATACAAGTGCTATAGGAGAACCACTCACATTTGGTAGAGCTATATTAGAGCTCAGCTGTTTTACGCATGGACGGTATAATCCCCATCTACGGATATATGGTGGTGTAGATGGTACTGGTCCTCCAAGTGCAGGTGATGAGTACGGAAGTAGAAGAGCAGAAAAACTCTGGGTAGTAAGCACTATAATATAAAATATAAGACAAGTAATGCACTTACATTTTTAAGAGCAAGACCTGCTCTAGTTGTCACAGCATGGGTGGTATAATCCCCACCTTGGGGTGTGATGGTTCCAGGTAGCAAACAGGAACCAGAATAGTGGTATGAATAAAACTATCTATTTATTGTAAAAAAGCATATAAAATATAGCAACAATAAAAAAGTATCCTATGAAGTAAAATTGAAGTGTCCCACTTGACGCGTTTCGCCTTTCAAAGATTTTTTTTTTTTTTTTTGAAAGACGAAACGCGTCAAGTGGGACACTTCAATTTTACTTAATAGGATACTTTTTTTATTGTTGCTATATTTTCCTGTCTGCTACCTGGTACCATCACATCCCAAGGTGGGGATTATACCACCCATGCTGTGACAACTAGAGCAGGTCTTGCTCTTAAAAATGTAAGTACATTACTTGTCTTATATTTTATATTATAGTGCCTACTACACTATCAGAGTTTTTCTGCTCTTCTACTTCCATACTCATCACCTGTACCTGCATATGCACTTGGAGGACCAGTACCATCTACACCACCATATATCCGTAGACTGGGATTATCCCGTCCATGCGTAAAACAGCTGAGCTCTAATGTAGCTCTACCAAATGTGAGTGGTTCTCCTATAGCACTTGTATTTACTATTTGCACTTTATCAAATTGTACTGTACCATTATTGTCTTTTTGTTTTTTATACGCCACATCTGAAGTTTTATGTACGTATGATTTTGTGCGCAGTATACGCCACATTTACTTTCTGTCTAATTACCACACAAGATCTTGGGAATCCTTGTACTGTATACAGCAGCCCCCCACATATCTACTGTATTATAGCGAGCGCCTATTACCCTTATTTTCACTAGTATTCAGAATTGAAATGAACGGTCTTATGATAGTTGCTGGATCCGAAAGTCAAAGGAAAGTCGCTAGTTCCGTTGTTAGATGGTTGGAGAATGATTGGAGTTACTCTTTCATGTGAGTTGCAAAAAAATTGTACTTGAATACATTATCATTCCTACATTGTTCTATTTGGGGTTTCCTCCTCCTAATAGTTTCCAGTAAAAGTGGCATTGTAGAAAAGTAGAAAGTGTGCTTTCCATGGCAAGCAATCTTCATGTTTTATAAAGGATTGTTATCCTGGGAGATGCTCAAAGGGTGACTTACCTACCCCTTTACCTATCTGTGACAATATCAGAACATTACCAGACTCCAATAAAGCATGGAAGAGCACAACTTCTGACCAAGCCATATTCCCGCACAAAGGGTTGTATGTGTGTGTTACAATCTTACTGTATGGTGGGTCCATTGTATGTGGCAAAAAGTAGGTGAATGTTGTATTGAAGAGTCTAGAGGCGACATGCACTCTTCCATTTCATGTAGCAAAACTCACAAAAAATCATTGTCCCAATTCTATATCGTAGATAACCGATTGCAGAATGCATCCATAATTGGCATCAGACAAAAAGTCACACTGTCCTTATCCTGTGTGCTGCTGCATATGATTTAATTTTTATTTTGGTTCCCATCGCATCCTTGCAGAAGCGCCTCGCTATGGAGGCTGAGTGCATTTCGCTCAAATGGAGTGTTTTACATTTTTAGGAGGGAAAATAATAATCATGCGCTATACAAAGGGATTGGCACATCTATATATAATTTCACATATCCAAAACAAATGATTTCAATTGCAGTAAGTGTAAGAAATGATCACTTCTAATGCTTGCGAATCCTGAATCCACATTTGCCTTGTTTGTATTAAGCATTGCTCTGATTTCTTGTACATATTTCAATGCACTTAACGTGAAAGGCTGTGCGTGGGTAAAATTTGTAAGCGTGTGTTTATACTATCATTGAAATCATTGCAAGCATGTCTGTAATTGGTTTTGTAGTCATTAATAGATTTGCGTTCCGGTGTTTGTCTTTTTGTTTGACCCTTGTGTGTGCATCTGTGAGTCACTGCCAATTTCACTCTTGAAATAAAAGCTCATGTTACAGGCTTCGTATGGTTTATCGATAGGACTTGCGTTCGATCATGACACACTATGCATTTAGTATGGAAAACGCGTTGCGCCTGTCTTTGAACCTTTTTAGACTTTATTTTTAAATTCTGTTTTGAAATTAATCAGGTTCTTTAAAAACTTCAAAGTTGCCTTTCGTTTTGCAGTAAAATTATAGCGTGCCTTATGTTTTTTTTGCTAAATCTTTTAAAATATTTCATAAAAGCAAAAAAACAACAACTTTGTATAGTAAACATTCATTATTCAAGGAGCTTCCCGATGTATTTTCATTGATAGCCATTTTTATCGCCATAGACATCCTGACATTTATACTGAAGATATTTGTTTGATTCCCTGAGCAGTATTTGATGAAATTAAGCTGGTTATTTGCTAGTTTAACAGATGGCACATAAAGAAAAATGGTTTTACAATGTTTTGAGCTATCTCATCTTTCCTGAAATCTCCCTACCCGGTCTTGATATCAAGCACAAGTATTAAGAATTTATATAAAAAAAATTCAATTGATTCTTTTTCATTTATTTAATCAGAAAATGCATCATTTTTTTCAACTAACCTCTATTTTAAAATTAGCATTGTGATTTTTTTTTTTTTTTCTTCTCCAAAAAGTTAGCACATGTTTTGCCACGTTACCTGTCTTGTTTCTACAAGTGACAATAAAAAGTACAAATGGTGAGAGCACTCAATATAGAACAGTAACTTGTACAGTAAAATTACCCAAACTGGATTTTGATCTGCAAATAAACACAAATAGAGAGAGAAACATAGGGTAATAACGTAAGGATAAATAAAAAGACTTAACAACTGGTCTCACTCACATAAAAAGAGCCACTTAGATAGCTGGCTCAAACTTGCATGCCTTGAATAAAAACTCTTGTAGGGCTTTCACTGGGTCCTTTCTGTAGTTGTATTTCTTACACCACCAGGAAACGCAGGTTCAAGGGGTATTAATGAAATTTATTTTCAAACATAAATAAAAAACTACATATACAAAAGAAAGTCCCTTTAAAAAACAAGTCCAAAGAGCACCTGACGCGTTTCGGCAATAAGCCTTCATCCGAGGCTTATTGCCGAAACGCGTCAGGTGCTCTTTGGACTTGTTTTTTAAAGGGACTTTCTTTTGTATATGTAGTTTTTTATTTATGTTTGAAAATAAATTTCATTAATACCCCTTGAACCTGCGTTTCCTGGTGGTGTAAGAAATACAACTACAGAAAGGACCCAGTGAAAGCCCTACAAGAGTTTTTATTCAAGGCATGCAAGTTTGAGCCAGCTATCTAAGTGGCTCTTTTTATGTGAGTGAGACCAGTTGTTAAGTCTTTTTATTTATCCTTACGTTATTACCCTATGGTTTTCTCTCTCTATTTGTGTTTATTTGCAGATCAAAATCCAGTTTGGGTAATTTTACTGTACAAGTTACTGTTCTATATTGAGTGCTCTCACCATTTGTACTTTTTATTGTCACTTGTATTTATCTAGTGGTTTTTGGTGGCTCCACTAAGGTGATTGTAGCACCATTTTCCTTGTTTAGGATTTATTCACCAGTCCATTCTATTGTTGTCTTGTTTCTACAGCTTACCAACACGAACAATTTTTCAGGATGAAATAGAAAATACATTATTTTATTTCAAATTTCCAATATTTTTCTGCCCAGTTTTTGTATTTTGTCCAATAATGGGAGGGCAGGGGAACCTGTAAATTTTGATTATTCTTTTAAAGCGCTAAATTCCAAAGAGGTTAAAATTTGAGGTTTTTAATGATTTTATTGTATAATACCAAACTGCTGTAATATTGTATAATATGCATCACTGTCTAAATACTGAAAATAATAAAGTTTTTAAGCAAATATATATTTGTTTTCTTTCCTTGAACACGTTTTCTTTATGATTCATTATCATACTTTTTTAATGACTATATCTATTTTTTTTATTCAAAATTATAATCAGAAGTTTATGGTGGGAAGAAAAAGAGCTCCTGTCATTTTATCGCCCCTGGAAATTCCTATTGAAGCGTTGACTAGATTTGGAATTCAGTGGAGAGTCTCATTAATTTTAACCACTGCATTGCTGCCATCTCTTTCCATTATGCTGTACATACTAATTGTCCCATGATTCGCTGACTGCATGCAGGCAGTCGCGGACCATATAAAGTCTGCGTTGTACGCCAGGCTAGCTTGCAAATCCAAAAGAACAAATGGAGGGCATATTAAAAATGTAACCTTTTTTGGGTGGAATAGCACAGATGCAACTAAAAGAATGATAATATTGTTAAAGGGTCACTTTATGCACCATAACCACTTCATCTTACTGAAGTGGTTACAGCATAACTCACAGGTGTCCCTACTTTAGAGGTTCAGTTTATTTTGAGCCCAAATCCCTCTGTCCCTGTTTTCTATCCTAAAGTTCAATTGTAGATTATGCTAACGTAGTGTACCTATAATCTTAATTTTAGTAATGACAGGAGGCTTCCTTTTTTGCATAACTTTCTTTACTTATGCCTCCAGCAGCACAAGATAATCAATCAAAAGTTTTAACCAATCATAGGCCAGCATAGCCTGTATATAAGTCCTTGCTGGGCGTGTCTATTCCTCTCTTTGCTGCTTTCAGACAGACACAGGTCAGAGTGATTCATTCAGTTATACTGTTTTATATGCTGCATTGCTTTTCCATATCTTAACCTATTGCTTTCACCCTCAACCCTCCCTATCCTCTCTACCCTGTACTGCACCCTCCTTCTATTTGCCCCACCCACGATCGCGTCATTTTACCGCGACCGTGCACGTTTCTTTAGGGCTCCGAGCGGGCATAGGGGTTCTCTGGGAGGTGGGAAGGGTAATCTGGGGGTTCTCTGGCCGCGGGTTCTCCTCCCTGCGTGGCGCTAACTCTCGGCGGCGGTCCGCGATCAGGTTCGCGTACCGCGGCCATTTTGGCGCGAACGGTGGCCATCTTGGATCTCGCACCCGCGAGACCCACGACCGCCTTTTGCGCCCCTAGCGGTCGTGATTCACACGATCCATTCACCAATCAAATATATATTTAAGGACACAGACAGTTTTACATCACCCTGCACTGGAACTTCATTGTGAATAACTGGAATATACATATGGTACTTTGCATTGCTGCTAAGTGGTTACAGAACTGACACCTCTCAGTCAGGGGTACTCCCCACTCTCGTTAATGCCATTATTATTATTATAGGGGTGACCCCCCTTACGATGAGCGACCCTAGCAGAGCCGCATTTCACTCAAATTATTCAGAGGGGCGACCCCCACAGGCTCTAGAATCACAGTGCAAGCAGGCTCATACCCTGCTATATCATTATAATATATACATGACTGTATGCATGGTACCCACATTACGGCTGGGGTGATCCACATACCTCCCTACCAAGGAGAGTGGAAAATTGGAAATAACAGGCTCCACAATTCAAACGGTGCTGGATGAACCCCAAACCACAGGCCCTCCACCCAGACAAGTGCGGCCCATTTATACGACCGCTCATCCTGGTCTCACAGAGGGTGATCCCCTCCTCATACCACTTGACCCCAATTTAGCAGGCCCTCCACCCCTAGAGCTCCATATTGTTGGTGTGCCTGTGTATAACAGAGCTCCACTGCAATAATACTCCCAATAATGTGTCTTTAAACTACAATAAATGTGTTTAGAATCAGTCTAGCTCTAAATCGTATTTTAGTCATATAAGTTACTAGTAAGTCATCTAATATTTCATAAAACAGCCCCAACCCTTGGTCACACCCCACTCATACCCCTAAGATTAAAGTGTCCTTCTTTGTCAATTAGAAATGTTATAAAGCATAGACCCTACCCCTTCAGCCGTTCTTTTTTTAAAATGTTTTGAAACATTACTTTTTTTTTATCCTGTGCGTAGGGTCGCCTCCTTGTGCTGTCAATCATCCAGCACAAACACTCTTTTCCTGGCTGACAATATCTGTTTTGTGACTATACAGAGCATAACAACACCAGACCTAGTGGACAGACTGCACAGTTTCTCCCCTTGTCCGTTGCGTATCCAGCAATAGCTCACTTCCAACATTGGCATTCTATATATTTATGCAGCCATGTAAGAAGTTGCGTGTCCCTACTGTATTATAACTTTTGTATTGTTCTCAGTGGGAGGCTGGTTGAAGTTAAAATGTAAAATAGACATCCAATGTAAGGGCATGGTGAGGTGATCGCTTGTTAACGAGCGATCACATACCTAGTTATAATGCGAAACCAAACCCTGCCTCTCACCAGCCCACATCTACAGAGATATTTGCTAAACTGAGAATTCAAGGTGAATTTAAAATTTAAGACCAGAGTAGCATAACTAGGCACATAGGTGACTTAGAGAATGTTTCCAGTACAGCTATTTTGGGCTTAAATATCAAATTCCCATTGAATTGTTACTTGAGTGAATAACTGTTAATTACTTTGACCATATATTTACCATTCCAGTCACATTCACCCTCCCAGTCACGTGCTTACCCATATCTACACTTGGTCACATCTTATCAACCACCTTGTTCTCACACCCCTACCCATCTAATCACCTACATCTACCAATTCGCCCAGTAACAGGCCTCCCTGCAACCAACAATCTATATTTATTCCCCATCACATTTATATTCACCTACCCACCAACCATTTCCTACATAAAAATGCACAAGCTCATATACACACAGTGTTGGAATAGAGGTCTCTGTGGTGGTAAGTGTGACCGGGTTCCTGTTCTGCCTGTCATAGGTGGTCCAGGAGCTGGTCAGCTGTCCCTCTAAGGGCTTCCCTCATGACGGGTGGCTATGCGATCAAGCAGAGTAGGGGAGCTCTGATGCTTGTGATCTTCCTGCACTGCTCTCTGGCTCTGCGGTGATGCTGAGATATGACATCACTAAACTGCTCGCAAGGGAGCGGTGGTGGAAGAGCATGAAGACTACAGTAGCTCCACACTAGACATCAGGGACAGAATCCACACCCACCCCTTCTGGACCCCAGGGACAGACTCCACACCCAGCCCTTCTTTGATTCTGGCCCAGGGTCCCTGTGATTTCTAGTTACATACCTGCATACACACCTTATATACAGACACATATAAACAAATTACATATACAGTCACATACATTGTATACAAGCCATCACACAAACATACAGTGCACATACACACGCATGTAAGAAATCGGCACTTTCAGGCTGGTTTAGGATTATGGGAATAGAAAGTGTCCCACCAACATCTGCAGTGTTCTGGTTAATCATCATTACTATCAGCACATTTCCCTCGATCTGTGAGCATCATCAGGGATATTTAAGGTGAGAATTCAAAGTGGATTTTAAATTTAAGGTCAAAAACAGCTGAATCGGAAAAAGTCAGCTATGCTTTAATTTACTCTACTTTAGCCTAAAATGTGAAATACCCCTTGGATTCACTTTAAATTCTAATTTTAGTAAAAACCCTTTGTTTCCTATGATTTGCTTTGTGGTAAAAGGTGCAGAGCATATAAACGGAGCAGGCCGATAAAGGGAGAGGAAAGAGATATCCCTACATCCACATACTGCATCGAAAAGTCCTCCACCCACTGTCGGTGACCCATAGCTCACTCGAGGATTGAAGGTAAGAAAGCTTTGTAAACCGTATAATCCACGGAGGGGCACACGGGGGTATCTGATAATAACTAGCGGTTTTTGTAGCAGATTTTAAGTATGTATTCCAGAAACATCTGAAGATATGAAACAAACATTCTATATTTTATTAATTCGTGCTTGTCATATTCTAAGGTGCTAAACTAGTGCTAGTATTTTGGGGTGATAACAGAATTATGATATACCCTGTAAACACTTACCTGATTCCACCGCTGATGTCCCTCAGTGCTGACTCCGCCTCCTCAGACGTCACTGTGAGAAGGAACCGCATTGCGCGGCAAGCACGCATTAGTTTTTTTTCTCAAGGGTTTTTGTTTGTTTTTTTAAGTCTTTCTTTTTCTCCATTTTTTAAAAAATTAATTCCTAGCCTCAGTTTACCTAACTGTTTGCCATGTAATTTTATTTTCACACAGCAATCAGTGAGAGCAACCGGTAGTCTGTGTTTCATTGTCTTTTAACAAAATGTCTTGTTTTGGCAGAAAATTTGATCTTTTCAGAGGCCTGCATGTCTATTCTGTTACACTTCGAAAATATGTAATTCGAAGAAGTGGCAGCCTTGCAAATCTGTACTGGGGTAGCAAAAGCATCTGATGCCCATTGAGTAGAAACAGCTTTGGTGGAATGAGCTTGAACAGATGTAGAAAAGAGCTGTAGGCCAGAGAAATTGCTTCCTTGATCCACCTGGCCAAGGATTCCTTGGAGGCCATTAGTCCTTTCTTCTGGTCCTGGTAGAGGATAAACAACTGTCCCGAGCATCTAAATTTCTGTTTTGTCCCACGGAACACTTTTAAATTCCAAATTTTCTTCTCCTCTTGTTCTGTCGATTCTGACAGAAAATGATTTCCTGATTAATGTTGGCAACGGAGGCTACCTTAGGAAGGCAAGAAGAATGAAGCTTTAACACTACCTTATCAAAATGTAATGTCAGAGGAGGGTAGGCTGACAATGCTTGAAGTTCACCTAGACGTTTAGCTGATGTAAACGCTATCAGGGACAGAGTTTTCTAGGTTAATATTCTCATTGGCAATCCTGTAACCGCTCAAATGGAGGTTAACAGACAGCTGATAGAACGAAATAAAGATCCCAAGGAGGAGTGAGTTCTCTAATAGGAATCGAGCTGAGACTGCTCTGAATGATCTGGCCACCAGAGGATCCAAAGCTAAATCTCTGATGGAATAAAAACTGATTGCAGCGATCTGAACATTGAGAGAAC